TGTGAGTTTCTTTCCCCCCCCCCCCCCCCCTTGTTTCTGTAATTTTAAAAAGTGGTATGCCAAATTTCCTTTTATATCTGAAAGCCTGCCAAGATATTACGGCCAATATTACTGTGAGAAATTCTTGACTCTAATTGCTAATTCAGAAACTTCATCCAAATGCTGTTATGCAAGCAATTCCTTTATATTCAGGAGCATACTGAATCATAGCCTACTTGGAGAAGGAGTACAGAGGCAGTTGGGTATTATGTTGACGGTGTGAGTACATTTGGATATTGTATGTGGAAAGTTTAGGGGGTCAGAACATGTCCACAGGTTTCCTAGGTGTCTGAACTCGATTTATAGTCAGTGGAGCTTAGTTAGCAAAGCAGTTGGCCCATCGCTCCGGGTTAAAAACCTGAGTGTGGAATGTTTCAAATGGCACGGAACAGCTAGGGTATCCAAAACATATGCAGAGAGCTGGCAGATACATCGGGAGACCCATGGGAGACCTGTGACGGCTTGAGGACAGGCAGATTATGCTGGAGAATGTGTTTTAGGCCATTGAACTGTGCTTATGTTTGTGCTTTGGGGTCAGATGAATTCAACTCCTCTAGCTGTACTGACTTCTCTGACTATAATGGGCGATTAGACATCTAGTGCACATGTAGACACTTGAAGTGAGGATTTTAATTTTGGACTGAATTCCATCCCGCATTTCTGGAGATTTAATTAGTTTTTGCTGTGGTTTGCCATGGAATCTATCATGAACAGAACTGTAGATAGTACAGAGCCTGTGCACGTTTGCCCTATCTAGACAGAATTGTTATAGTTAAAACTCTTCTAGCATAGGAAATGATGTTGAACTATTGTAGCAATGATGTAGCAAAGCTCTAATACAGAATTCATAGGAAGGAAGATGATTTTTTTTTGGTACAGAATGAAATCAGTTTCACTTGCTCTATCTTATACCTGCATATTCACGAGCACCAAGATGCATGTGTCCAAGTAGCCTGTCCAGGATTCCTTGTGATGAAAAAGAGATGAAGGGGTATCACATACCTAGTCCTCATTGTTTCTCCTGGGTTCTTCTCAAGGGGGTGACTACCTGCTTGTTTTGGATGTGGCTTTTTGTACGAGTTGGGAGCTGACAGTGATTTGTGTCTCCATCCTGTCCCCCTGCTCTCAGTCATCAGGAACTGCCCTTTGTCCCCTGATCTGGGTGTCCTATAAAAGCTGCACATAGATCTTTTGGGATCTGCTAATCTAGGTGCTGATCTTATAACCGTTCTTATAACGCTTCTTCTGATGTTCCTTCTGGTACTTCCACACTCATCTTCCCGTTCATACCAGTCATAGGGTTTATATTACAGTTCTCTGAGACAGAGTTTATCTTGCTAATAGCAGAGATTCTCCATTAAGCCAGGGTGAAGGAGGAAGAGCTGAATCCTGTCCTTTATGCGGTGCTGCAGTGCCACAACTGACAAGATATTCATCACTGTAATAGCCTCTAAAACATTTGAATGTAGGATTATTATAGAATGTATATGTCCAGTGATGTTTCAAATACCGCGCAGCATGGTGTTTTTTTAAGCTAGCAATTCAGCTGCATGTCGGAAGACAGCTCCAAGCTTTTTCATGACTTATTCCTGTGCTCTTAAAATTAATAAGCCTATCAGTCAAGCTAAGGAGTGGTACTTGCATGGTGTAGTGAGTGCTCTTCCAGTTAGGCGTCTGCATCCCCCTGAGATGCTGCTGTCTTTTGTTTTTAGACCTGAGTTAAACTTTGCAGGGATGTTGATAGTTCTGAGTTGCACTGACTTTGTAAACTTGACGTTTTATATGAGCTCTTTGAAAGAGCACTACTTTGGAGGTATTCAGCATCGTCTTATGGTAAGATGCGATCTCTGATGTGTTCCATATATGACTAAAATAGCAAGCTGCCAACATTGATGCATCTTCCTTGGGAGAGTCTGGCTTTTTGCTTCCATAAATAGCATAAGTTACTCATTCTATAGTGATCAGTACGTCTTGATTTGACCTGTTTCCAGCAGGGTATTGCAGTGGCTTGCTTATGTTTGCGTATCCTGTATCAGAACTTCTGTCACCCTAAGATACGTGTTAAGGGTATAATCCCCTTGATGTCAGCTTAACCTGTTGTCTTGCGGACAAGCACATGTCTGAAAGTAAGAGCTTCAGATGCAGTTGGGGTAGTTTATCTAACGTCAGGTATACAGTAAAACCCGCAGGGGGAGTGAATGGAAAAAATTAATGTATTAGGTCGCATGCTATTGTGGTGAATTTTTACAAGACCCTTTTGTCAATACTAAGATGTACGGTTTCACCTATAGTGTCTTATCAAGCAGGTACGTTTTGTTCCATGCTTAATGAATCAGTTACATGAGAATCTCCAAGGCACACAGCTAGGATCTGTCATCTTAGCTAAGGTGCCTGCAAGCCTGGCCCTTTCATTTCACGGTTCCAAATTCTAATCTCTATTTTTGATGTGCGGAATGGAAAAGGTTTTTGCCCGGACTAACCAGGGCGAATAGAACTGAAACAAATAAAAAACAATTGAAAACTTAAACTCCGGAGAAGGTTCCCCCTGAAATTCACTTAAAAATAGTCAAAGTGTGTACAAGTAAAATAAGGTTTGCAGAACATGGGACAGGACTGTTTAAGCAAAAGTTTTGTAATGGAAGCGCTTCAAGTATTGGAGAATAAAGCCAAACAGTAAGGCGTTGTTAATAATTTAAACTTGGGAGTACCTATCTTCTCAAAAGTAGATGACAACATGCATCTCTAACTGCATTTTGACTGGTTGTTTTTTTTTTTTGCGTGTCTGAAGCTTTTGTAATCGACTAAAATTATTCACAGGTATATCACAAAGAGACTACACTCAATACTATGATCATATCTCTACGCAACATGAGGAGATCTGTAGATCAATACAGGAGTTTTTCCAGAGAAACATACAGTATAAATTCTTGGATGAAGACTGTAAGTATCTTAAGGCTTGGGTTGGAAAAGGAAGCACAGAGGAGGGAGGGAAGGTGTTTATGAAGGTTTTAAAGTGCCTGTTGTACACATAGTTACAAAGAGTTAAAAACAGAAATGGAGGATCTGCCTTTTTGAAGTTCTTCTGCACAGTACTTTCCTGGGAGTTTTGACTTTGAAAGGACTTGCAGGGCCAATTCCATAGAAATAAGACCTGTTGTCCTGCCTCCTTGCTAAGCCAGGCTTGTTTCTTCTACAGCACACCAAAATTTCAGTGTGCTAAATTTGGATTCACTGCTGGAGATCAGTGAAAAACTGTTGTTTCTCAACAAGAGATGACATCCCCAGTATTCTAAGTCTGTGGATGTGTATTTGTGTCTTCATGCTGATGCCAGCTGCTGCTTTCACAGGGCTTGTTTCTTTTTAATCTGGGAGAGTCTTAATACCCTTGTAGTTAGAGCATGCAGAGCGATGCAGTTTCTTGAATAATGATAAAATTGGGAACAAGAAAAACTAAAGGAATAGGCTGGAGCTTTTCAGGAAAACAAGGCTATTGAGTGAAAGACTCTTTCAAATAGCATCATTTTGCCCTCTGAAAGTGTTCTCCCCCCCCATCCCCCCCAATACTTACTTTGAGTTAAGAAAAGTTCAAGATCTCAGTACTGGGATAAGAAATACTTTTTAAAAAAAAAAACCCTTCAATAAGATACAAAATAGGAAAACATTATTGGTAAAGATGTTGGCAAAGGTTTGCTGCTAAAGTATTGCTGTATTCCTTGAAGAAAGGATTTGGAGGTTTCTTTTCAAGAAGTTATATACATTTCTAACGAAATATTGATGCACGGCATTTTAGCTGATCAGACCTTTGAATAAAGGCCAGAGTATTTGAAGAATTTCTACTACCTCTAAGCAGCCCAGGTAAATTTTCTCAGTTTGTAAATGTGGTGTCCTTTGAAAATTTCATTTAGAAACAGTTTCCTGACATGGTTTAGTGACTGTAGAATAGTGTTTTGTTGTGATGGATGTCTGGGGTGGTGAAAAGTAGGATGGAGAAATTTAAATTGGCCTCTATGGACTGAGCCTTGTTTTAGTAAAACACATAAACGTAAGCGTGTTATTGGTCGGTTATGTTGTCCCTGGTAAAGCTCTGAATACTGAGCCTTTTGGTAAGTTTTGAGCGTGGTTAATGGTTCTGCTGAGCCAACAGAGCAGTCAGATCTGTCCTGTCTGACTTTCTCAAAAGGGTACCTTCTAATGGTGATCTGCTTTATTCAAATTTTAATCAAGGTTCCTTTATTTCAGTCCAGACAGCTTATCAAGAGACACTGCTTGGAGAAGACTAGTAGTCTGGAAGTCAGTATACTAATTTAATAGATCTCTAGCCCTAAAGTTTTGAAAGGAAATCAATCATGCAATTATGACATTTTGATTACTGTCTGTTTTAATTTTCCTGTATGTTCCAACATAATTTTAGATGGTATATAATCAACTGATAAGAATAAGGGCAGTATTTTTAGATAGAGATGCCTAGATTTAGGCTCTGAAACTGCCGTCTAGTGAACTGAAAGATCTGAAGTCTGTCATCTTATGTAAGGTAAATAAAACTATGCCATCTGAATTACCAGCTGGGAAAAGAAGACTTCAGGGTGACAGTCTGGGATGAAGGTTTGTTCCTTCATCCTTGTAACCTTTCGGTCTTAGACACCAAATGCTGGTGACCTATCTTCTGCAGAGAAATGTCATGCAAAAACGTTCTGTTTTTTCCCCTCCCTTTTTTCATCCCCTAGCATATGCCTTGAGGCACTGTCTGGCAGCATGTGTGGTGCTAACAATGAAAATCTGGGTTTGCCTGTTTGTTTGTTTTTAAAAGGAGAGGTATTAAGTTTTTTTCTAACTTCTTGCTTCATTGGGGCTTTCAAGGTGGTTCGCTCTGCTTTTTCCAGTTGGTTTTGGTAGCATCTCCAGTTTTGACTGGTTGGGCAGAGCAGCTGAGGCAGAGCAGCTGAAGCAGTGCAGAGTCGGAGCAGAACAATAACAGATGGGCAAATGCTTTTTAAATGCTTCTAAACGGTATTAGAACCTTCTAAATACCTTTCATAAAATCCCACTAAAAACAATCTTCCAGAGGTGTCAACGCTTACCCTAGAGTCGAACTCTCAGGTTTACTTGCAGTTGCTCGTAACTCAGGGCAAGTTTTAACCACGGCCTCACTGGCACACTGTTCTGAGCTGACCCCTGAGGAAGAGGGACCAGTTCAGGTCTTCCTCCCTGTTCAGTGTTTCCGAGTGTCCCGGACTAGTCATCCATGTGCCAATGAGTCTTAATGGTGATGTAAATCCCACTAAATACTGTCAGCTTCAATGATGAATGATCAATATTGCCATTGGCTTGCTTTGAACTGACAGGCATCGCTTTATAGGAAAGCTCAGATGAAAATTTTCCATTAATGGAACATGACTAGTGTGAGTACACAGTATGAGCAGCAAGTTCAGTTGAACAGTTAGAGGTCTAGGGTTGCTGTGCTCTTCTTTGCGTAGATGACTTAGCCATCTGAGGGTTTATCTCGCATGTATTAGGAAATCTCTTAACTAGCTGAAATATTCAGTTCCTTCTTTGTGAAGGAAGTGGCAATACAGCATTTGTATGAGGCTTCTCTACATCTAGCAGTTTTAATTTTTTTTCTGCTAAACTGGTACAACTGGTCAGGCCTGAATTCTTACCTGCTGATTTCCATAGCTGAATAGACAAGGCAAGGATTTGTTTAACCATACAGAACAGAAGCGAATAGAAAGATGCACGTACAAAGATTCATGCTTAATTAAGTCAGTGGGAGGAACAACGATGTAGCTGCACAAGGCAACTTTGCTTAAATTGCAAGGCAAATTTGCTTAAACCATCTAAACTTTGCTTAAAAGCAAAGGGTCCGTTTGAAAGAGCTGTTGATAGTCAGTAGGTGTGCTGTAACTGCTCTACGTTATATTGAACGTAGCCATTTCACTGCTGCCTCGTTCTCAAGCGTACCCACTGCCCCCTTTTTTCCTTCCATTTGTTTTGTCTCGTTATCTGCTGAAGTCGTAATCTCTTTGAGGCAGGAACTTTTTCTTATTAAATGTTTGTGCACTGGCTAGCACAATGGAGCCTTGATCCTTCCTTGAAGTTCCTCCGTTCTGCTGTAGAACAAACAGCAGTAATGTTGAAGATAAGCTCCTCGCTATGCTAGGAGTTAATCAAATGTTCATTGAGGGGGAAAAAAACCAGCAGAATAAACCAGCATTAAATAGAAAAGCCCAGCAGACAATCTCTCTCAGTGCGTTAACAATGGTTCTTGAAATGTTTTTATTCCCTCTTGGAAATGAACCTAATTCTGGCTTGCAGTTTCTGAGATGTATTGACTTTGCAGACTATGCTGTGTACGCAATTATCTACTTAGGTTTAGACATCTTATGTGGACTTTTATATCTTTTAAAATTAACACTGCTTTTTCCTCCTTTTCAGTTGTTTTCGATGTGTACAGAGACAGCAGGGTAAGTGACCAATAGGTTATATATTTCTGTAGCAATGAACTGTTTATTGTGTGGAAATTGTATCTGAAGAGTTGGAGAGATGAAACCAGTAATAGCTTCATCTTCCAGGAAGTGGTCCTGGCAAAAGATGAATGATTTCACTTTAACATTCCCTTCCACAGTTCTGTTTCTGTTGGACGCTGTCCACGGTAGGAGAATAAGAGGATTAGGGGTGTGAGTATGTCTGTTCCAGTGATGTAATTATTTTGTAGATCTCTTCCTCCGAAAAAGTAGTCTGTTTTAAAGCACATAGCTTTGGCTTCAGCTGTAATTCTGTCAGATCAATGACTCTACTGAAGTTTTCTTTTAAGATTGGTTTGTACTTAATATCATGCTGTATCACCAAGCAGTTTCAGTGAAGCACTACCTGTTAATTAAGGTTCCCTCTATGCAGTGCCTGTTTTAAGTGTGTTTGACAGAAACGTATCTGAACGTTCAGCCAGAGTGGCTGAGCTATTTCAGAAAAATATGGGATGTGGGGGATGTTTTGCCTGCCCCCCCCCCCCCCCCCCCCCCCGGGGGG